CAGAAATTCTTACGCATCACATCTGTAGCTGTCTGGTGAGGGGGCAGGACACGTTTCGGAGGGGGCGTCATCCTCGTCAGCCCCCTCATGGCTACTGGCCTGGTGCCACTGAACTGAAACTTTGTATTCCTGCAATAGTCACCGGAGGCTTGGTATGCACACTGGAGAGGAAGCTTTCCCTCACAGCTTGGAACTGCATGTGGGTGGGTTCCACATGGGGGGATGGGAAAAGCTGATCCGCTCCCCAGCAAAACAGCTGCAAGGGAGACAGAGATGTGCGGTGACAGCATCCACATGCCCTGCCCCCTCCCCATCCTCCTTGCATCGTCACAAAAGCACCAGCTTGACCACTGGGCTTGTGAAAGGGACAGCTACAAACGCTGGTCAAGAGAAACTGCCAAGAACCCCTAGTAATTTTTGATCACCTGTGCTTAGGGTTGTCAGCTCTGGGTTGGGAAATATATGGAGATTTTGAGGGTGTAGACTGGGGAGGGTGGGGTGTGGGGAGGAGAGGGACCTCAGCAGAGTATAACACCATAGAGTTCACCTTCCAAAGCAGTCATTTTCTCCAGGGGAACCAATCTCTGTCGCCTGGAGAGCAAGTTCTAATTCTGGGAGCTCTCCAGACCCCCACCTGGAGGTTGGCAACCCTACCAGTGAAGCTCAAACTCAATATGGTGGTGGCAAATCCGTATGTTCACTACAAGATAGGGTATGGTTTACAGTGCAAAAGATCCAGGCAGGAGGATATGCTGGATCCATGCCCCCTCCTAGATTTCCACTCACACAACCCCTCTTCCAGCAGGACTCGTTTCCAGTATTTGCACTTGGCTGGATCAGAATTACTGGGGGGGGGGGGGCAGCTGCAAGGAGAAAATCCTAGGTCCCTCCAACCCGATGTTCACACCTTCCCCCAGGTATACATTGCTTTATTCACGACTGAGGGGAGGGGTCTGTTTTTAAATATCCAGGCCTGCCTCTGTCACATGTAAGATGGGCCCTTGGATATTGCAGAAAAGCTGGGTTTGCAGCTTTGAGTCTCCTGACCCATTTCAGTAGTACCCAAACATCCTGTATGATACACTTAATTGTTATGTCTAATGGACATTACGGGAGGACGCCTGGTTACTAAATTCAGGAACAGCAGCGCTGGATCATGAGTCTGGAACCCAGAAGTCTTGGGTATCATATTACATTCTGCTATGTGAAACGGGGGCGGGGGGGGGGAAATATGTTGAACACGTGGTCTACCTGTTGCTAAAGTAAATATCCGGTTACACACCCTACAACTGTTTGGAAAGGGATTCCACCTGTGTACTTGCCCGAGGACAGACAGCGTAAGAGTGGGGAAGAGACTTCAGAAACACCAATTTTTATTTTTGCAGTTTAGCAGTCGTCCTACAGATAGGACAGTCCACTTTGCAACTAGTGCCAATTTGCAGAAATGATAGTAAAAAAACAACCCCTTCACTTGGCGGATTTTTGCAAGTTAAAGGGACAGAAGCCAGCCAGGGTGATTTTGTTTAGCCAGTTGATCCCCTGGAGACAGATCCCAAGGTCATACAATTTAAAGAAGAGAAAGTGGACCCTGTAGATCTGGAAGGGGGGGCGGGAACTATCTTTGTTTTTTAAAAGTTTGCCTGCTGCAAAGTTGACAGCGAAGGGTAGGGACTGGAATGAGTCAGGCAAAGCAAACAGGAACCACCCTTGAGCAATCCAAACTGGAGCACGGCTGAGCTCCTGCCATCTTCCCAGGCTGCAGGACGGCCACTTGACTTCAGAGTGCTCATTCCATGCATTTGAATCTTAATAGGGCTATAGTTCAGGCGTTAAATGTAGCAGAACAAAGCCCTATTGGAATTCCACAAGGGAAAAAGCAGCTTGGGGTGGGAAATATGAGAGTAAAAAACCTGGCTGGTGGAGAAAGGGTTAAGACCAACGCTCCCTCTAAGCTGTGTGAGCAAAAATTCTACTTTGCGAGCTGCTGGCATTAAAATTGTGAGTGAGCGATTTGGCTGCTGCATCAATTAATTTGCTCTGGAGCTGTCCTTCCTGAGCTAAGACAGAAATGTGTGAGCCGGAGGCTAAAAAACAATGAGCTAGCTCACACTAACTCAGCTTAGAGGGAACACTGGTTAAGACCCCCACACCTTGCTGTTACTTCTCCAAAACGGATACTTCCCAAATCTGTGTGTTTCTTTAGATAAAGCAGACACCCAAGCGGCTTCCCCTTTTCTTCAGTAACCAGGAGAAGCCTGCAGGTGACCAGGGTAATGTACAAGCCCCAACACAATGTTGTTCTCGCAGACGTTTGGAAACCCCCATCTGGTACAGCATACTGTTCATTCAAGTGGATCGCAAAAAAAGGAAGAGTGAGGCAGAGAAAGAGAGAGGAATTAGGCAGCCCATCATTCAAAACATGTGGCTCTGAAAATAGTATGCTTTCCTGACCTCTTTGCTCGATTGAACATGGGAGAGATTAAACTCCACCCAAACCCTCGCCTGCTCCATGAAGCCGTTAGTCCTGTTCTGAACAGAAATGAAGCTTAAGCACATGTTTGGTCTCCGTCGTTCCTTGTTATCCTTGCCTCGCTTCTCTCTCTCTCTCCCCTTAGGTTTCCATTGTAAACTAATTGGGGCAGAGGCCTTTTTGCTTATGTTACTTTGGAAAACACCATCTGCCCTAATAGGGCATAATAACGATGGGTCAGATCCAACATAGGATTTCCACAGATACAAGGGGAGGTAATTTTCACTGTTTCCCTCCTCCCATGTCAGACCATCGATTTCCCATGCATTGCTGTTCCTCAGGTGGGGCATTTTGGGTTGCTGCCGGAAGGAAGACAGGGTAAGGGAATCAAGTTCCAAACCCCCCTTCTTGACTTTGCACGAAAGCAGGCTGTACACTTGATACCGCCTACATTTTTGCGCTTAGCTTGGGTCAAGTCCCTGCTCTGGATTGGTTCTCACATGACAGTAACAATTCCCCCAAGTAACATTCCCCCAAGAGCACTGCGATCGGGGAACTTCCATCGCCTGGAGGTTCCAGGCCCCCGGGAAGTGAAGCTGACCCAAACCAGGGCTAGGGCATTCTCGGTGGCGGCTCCCACCTGGTGGAATGAGCTCCCGGAGGAGATCCGGGCCCTGCGGGACCTAGTGCAGTTCCGCAGGGCCTGCAAGACGGAGCTCTTCCGCCAGGCCTTTGAGGGGGAGCCGCCGCCGCCACTATTCCACCAATGATATTCCAACCATCTACCTAATATAGTAGGGGTAGATGTCGCCCAATAGAGCTGGGGAAACATTCTTCCTGGCGCTCCCGCTGGGAAGAACTTGGCCGCCAGTGTGGGACGTCGCCCATCTTGGATTTTATGTAAATTATCAGAGCACCAAATTTTATGTCAAGATATAGTGTTTTTATTATGCTGTTGTTTGTATGCATATTTTAACTTCGGCATGGCCGTCTGTTAGCCGCCCCGAGCTGAATACTGGATGGGGTGGGATACAAATCCCAATAAATAAATAAATAAATAAATAGGCAAGAATCATTTATATGTCCTGGTATGGTGCAGAGGATTAAATGTGTAAGTGGTTCCTATAGAATGAAACCATAATGCACAGGCTTCCAGTTGGTGCAAGACCTGGGTGAGTTGCCAACCTCCAGGTAGGGCCTGGAGATCCCAGAATTACAATTGATTTGCAGACCACAGAAATCAGTTCCCTTGGAGAAAATGGCTGCTGTGGGGGGTGGAATCTATGACATTATAACCCTGCCCAAATCCTGCTCATTCTGGGCTCCAACTCCAAATCTCCAGGAATTTCCCAGCTTGACGTGTGGATGGTGCGTGTCGCCCACACAGTCCTGATTCTCGTTTCCTACCATGGAATTGACGTCAGTCTGGACTTACTCTGTTTGATGTCCCATTCCTACTTCTCTTCAGTTCCCATTTGTAAAACAGGAACAACAGTGGCCTACCTCGTAGGACTGTTGTGCGGATTATTGAGATGGACAGAAGTAGTTACAGCACTATGGAAACCATTTTCCAAATTAGGGGTCGGTGCTCCTGTTGCGTTTTATCCCACCCTTCTTCCAAGGAGTTATGACTCTTACAACAACCTGATGAGGGAGGATACGACCATCTGAGCTGAAGGGTAGAACAGGTGCTTCCAATAGAGTCTTCCCAATCTTAAATTTGACTGCCCACTGCTGAACTGAGTGGCTGAATGGCACAATGGCTAGAATTCTGGTGGGCTCAGAGCTGGCAGATCAAGGTACAAATGATCTTGCACGGGTCACTGTCCGCTTAACCTTCCTCTCGGGGCTATTGCGAGAAGGAAGTACAACGGCTCCCCATTAACAACAGACAGGGAGGTCATAGAGGGGCTTGGATAATAATTTCCTCCTGTCCTCTTTTAGACTGGAGCCCCCATTTTGCCAGATCTCCACCAGCTGTTTCTCCGCTAGCTTCCACCCCATAGCAATGGGGAGGGGATTTAATTCTTGGTATGCTGGTTTGTTTGCTGCAAATCTGATTGTTATATGAATATGCATTTGCTCTCCTTATTGTCCCAGCTCACACAAGCTGAGAGTTGCACTCTGAGATACTGCTAGGGATCCTGCCTTTTCCCTGCCCCTTCTTGAACAACTTGGGTGGGTAATGTATGCCTTTGAGCTGGCTCTCTCCTATCAGAGATTTGGCAGGAAAAGCTCTGCATCCCCTTGTGGCGTATTTTTGCATTCAGCTCAGTGGCACCGACCTCCAGTGGGGAGGAATAACAGCCCCACTAACCACGCTGGCAAGCACAACAAAACTCCACTCTGTTTTGCAACTGGAGAAGTTGGCAGAGAGTCCCTCTAAAGGTTCGTCCTACACAGCTTTCCAAAGAGCTCGGGGCAGAGGAGAAGGAAAGAAAGGAGGAGTGGGGGGGGGGGAATAAAACAGCACCCGTCTAATTTTTTTTCAATTATCCAAGAAGAAAGCAATAAAGAGAGAATCGCTTACCAGGTGCAGCTGTTCAGCCGACAGCCTAGCACTGCTGGGCTCCCGTGGAGCTGTTCCGGCAGATAGAGCCCTTCCCAGCGGTCAGCAGGTACCTAGCCTAGCCTTGGGCAATCTTCAGAATGAAACCTCACAAACACTAAAGTGGAAACACACCGACAGGGTGGAGTTTGTGACATTCAACTGCCCTGCTAAACTATTTTCCTTACCTGGCCTGCAGGGCAACCCAAACCTGTTTGGTTAAAGGCACACGCTATATTTCCCCCCCCAAAACCCAAATGGCTCTTTTTAAACAAATGGTTTGTGCAGCCAGTTACGGAGCTTCACTAGGGAATAAGCATAGAAAGGATGAAAGGAAACCAGAAGACACACTTTTAGTGAGCCTCCCTCCATATTTGCCATCTAAGGGGGAACACCAGGATATCATCTCAGATCTCAGAAGCTAATCAGGGTTGGCCCTGGCTAGTGTTTGGATGGGAGACCACCAAGGAATACTAGGGGTGTGACACAAAGGCAGGCAATGGCAAACCGCCTCTGAACATCTCTTGCCTTGAAAACCCCACGGGGGTCAGCCTAAGTCAGCTATGACCTGATGGCAAAAAAGGCCATCACTGCATACTGTGGCAGTAAGTTCCACTGCCAAACGATCAAAGCATTGGATGGAGAGAGAAAGAGGGCCATTTTCCTAGCAATGCCCAAGTGCTAGAACTCTGGGGCATCCAGTGAGGTTTAGGTGTGGTAGGTTGAGTGTAATGTATTGGAACGATTACATGAATCACCTCATAGGACTCCCATGTTAAGCTTCGAGATTCCCCTGGCCGGAAGAGACACTGTACATGTTGAGTATAAGGGGAAATGTGTTAAACTGTCATGTCTTATTGCTGAGGGAGACCGGGTCAACCTGCTGGGGTTGGACTGGTTTGAGCCATTGGGCATTGGTATTTCAGGGATTAACAAATTGCTTGAGAATAAATGGGATATGATGTATGACCTGTTCCCTGATGTGTTTGCAGAGGGTCTGGGGCGGTACAAAGGGCCCCCGGTTGCTTTTGAACTTGACCCATCTGTAAAGCCGATCAGACTGAAATATCGGAAGGTTCCAATTCCCCTCAGGCCTAAAGTAGAGAGGGAAATTGATAAACTCGTGGAACAAGGAATTTTGGAACCTGTTCCTCACAGCAAGTGGGAGACGCCTATAGTAACACCAGTTAAGCCTGATGGGTCCATACGCTTATGCGCAGACTATAAATGCACCCTTAACAAGGCGTTACAACAACACTCCTATCCCGTCCCGGTTATTAGCCACATCCTGGCTTCATTGGGGGGCGGAAAGATCTTTGCCAAATTAGACTTGGCACAGGCATACCAGCAGTTGCCTGTCACTCCTGAGGCTGCAGAGGCTCAGACTATTGTTACCCATAGGGGGGCTTTTAAGGTGAATCGCCTACAGTTCGGGGTAAATGTGGCGCCCGGCATCTTTCAGGGCCTGATGGAGCAACTCTTGAGGGGGGTACCAGGAACGGTGCCCTACTTCGACGACGTGTTAATTGCGGGGAGGTCTGAAAATGAGTTGATGGACCGGGTGAAGGAGGTCTTGAAGCGTTTCCAAAACGCTGGGCTCAGAGTAAAACGTTCAAAATGTACACTGGGAGTTAGCAGTGTAGAGTTCTTGGGGTTCAGGATTGATGCAGACGGGGTGCACCCCACTACTGACAAGGTGACTGCAATCCGAGACGCCCCCAGGCCGGTGAGTAAGAAGGAGCTCCAATCATTTTTAGGACTCCTCAATTTTTATCATGCGTTTTTACCGCATAAGGCATCAGTGGCGGCCCCTTTGCACGCACTTTTGCATAAGGAGGCGAAATGGAAGTGGGGACAGGCCGAAGAAAGGGCTTTCGTGGGGGTTAAGGAGCTGTTGGTGTCTAATGACGTGCTGACGCATTATGATGACCAGAAGCTCCTGGTGTTAGCTGCGGACGCTTCACCGTTTGGAATTGGCGCGGTTTTGAGCCACCTGATGCCTGATGGGAGCGAGGCGCCAATCGCTTTTTACTCAAGATCTCTTTCTGAGGCAGAAAGGAACTATGCCCAGATTGACAAGGAGGGTCTGGCTTTAGTAGCGGCTGTCAAAAAGTTCCATGACTTTATTTTTGGCAGGCGATTTTTGCTGGTCACTGACCACAAGCCGCTACTGGGGATTTTTGCACCCGATAAGCAACTGCCGAATATCATGTCCCCGCGCATGCTTAGATGGGCGCTCTTTTTGCAGGCGTACGATTATGACCTTGAACACCGGCCTGGGAAGGCAATCGGACATGCGGACGCCCTCAGCCGCTGCCCATTGCCCTGTGCGGGACCCGACCCTGCTCCTGCTTGTGAGGTCTTGGCACTGGACGAACTCCCTCAGGCTCCTGTATCGTCCAGGGACATTGCTGCACACACGGCTAAAGATAGCGTGCTGTCCCGTGTTTTAAACTGGGTTTGGAGGGGGTGGCCAGTTGGGAGTGTTGAACCTGAATTTGGACCCTACAAATGCCGCCAAAGTGAACTGTCCATTTCTAAGGGCTGTGTTTTATGGGGCAACAGGGTGGTGGTCCCTGACAAGCTCAGGAACAGAGTTCTAGAATCTCTGCACGAGGGGCACCCTGGAATGGTGCACACCAAAGCGTTGGCCAGGGGGTATGTCTGGTGGCCTGGGCTGGATAAAGAGATTGAGGATTGGGTTCGCGTGTGTTCCCAGTGTCAGCAAGTCAGGCCGGAACCCCCACAAGCTCCGCCTCAGAGGTGGGAGTCTTCAGGGAAACCCTGGGCCAGATTGCATCTGGATTTCGCTGGCCCGTTCCAGGGGAACATGTTTCTCATAGTAGTGGATGCAATGTCTAAATGGTTAGAGGTTGTGCGCATGAAAACAACCACTTCACTAGCCGTGATCCATGCGCTCCGCCATCTTTTCGCCACGCACGGGTTGCCTGACGTCCTCGTCAGTGACAACGGGCCTCAATTTGTCTCTGAGGAGTTTAAGCAGTTCCTCACGAGTAATGGCATCCGCCAAATGACTTCGGCCCCCTTCCATCCGGCATCTAATGGCCAGGCCGAACGGATGGTAAGGACGGCAAAAGAGGCCCTAGGGAAAATGAACGAAGGTGACTGGAGCCAAAGGCTGGGTGCTTTCCTCTTGCGGCAGCATACCACCCCTTGCAGTTCTACAGGCCGTAGTCCGGCCGAATTGTTAATGGGACGCAGACTCACAACCTGCTTAAACAGGTTACATCCGGATCTAACTGACGATCACTCCGAGCGTACAGAACCGCAACCGAAGGTGCGCATGTTTGAAAAAGGAGACAAGGTTTTCGCCCGAAATTATGCTAATGGTCACTTATGGCTTCCTGGGGTAATATCCGACTCTGTGGGTACTCGCATGTATGTGGTGCAGTTGACTGACGGTCGAATCTGGCGGCGCCACATAGATCAGTTACGGAGGCGTTGGGCTACGGACAGCGCTGACTCTCCGACGGCTGAATCCTCTGACGTTGAGTGGAGACCCCCAGAACAGGCGGTGAGTACCGAACTGCCCGGTACTGTCCCCGAGTCAGGGCAAAACCCTGTGTGCGGGGCTGAAACCCCAGTAGAGTTTGTGCCTGAACCAGGCTGTATGGAACCCCACACTGACCCACAGCCTTGTACGCCCATGGAGCCTGCCCCGCTTCGCAGGTCCCAGCGTTCGCGGCAAATGCCGACTTATCTGAAGGACTATGATTGTAATAAAGTTTTGTGGAATAGCTGATGTACAATGGCATGACTTGACTGTATGTAAATAATAAACTAGGGTATGTTGTTTTAACTTAGGGGGGAGGAATTGTAATGTATTGGAACGATTACATGAATCACCTCATAGGACTCCCATGTTAAGCTTCGAGCCATACCAGGGCTCCTCCGAGCGAACTTCCTATTGGTCGCTTCGTAACAGCGACCAATCAGAACGATACCATTCCCTAGGAGGGAAAGACTTCCATTGGTCCTTAACTAAGCAATCTCATTGGTTGTTAATTGTAAATAGGCGTGGCTACATTAGCCCGGTTATGTTTAAAAGGAGCATAAGCTCCCACTGTTTTCTGTTCTGGTTTCTTACTGAGTTGAGCGCTTGTTCGTTACTTCCAATAAAGCTGAATCACTTGCTGAATCACTCTACGAGTCCTTTGTTAGTGCGATCTAACATTGAGGATGAATGAAAGAAAGTGGTTCTTCAAGTGCCTCCAGTACCAGAAGCACCCACAAACAGTCCCTGGAGAGCACGCAGTGCTGGACCTGATGGGCTTTTGGTCTGATCCAGCTTGGCTCCTCTTATGTTCCCCTGACGAATGTTAGAGGTGGCTTTAAAAAGGAATTAGACCCATTCAGAGAGGGTAGGTCTATCCATGGCTATTGGCGATAGTGGCTAAATGAAAATTTATTTATTTATTTATTTATTAAATTAGATGTATTAGGCCGCCCTTCCCTGCAAGCAGGGCTCAGGGCGGCTTACATCAATAAAAAATGCAACAATACTAGACTTAAAACAGCATTAAAATCCAACAACCACTAAAAAAACAGTACAATCCAAGATGGAGATAAATTTCCAATACCCGCTTGCTCCTGGGTGAAGTAAAATGCAGAGCAGTGGGAAGGGCGGAAGGATGTGAGAGTGCCAGGCTGTCGCTGTCCTTGGCCAAATGCCCAGTGGAACATCTCTGCCTAGCAAGCCCTACAGAATGGGAACAGGTCCTGTAGGGTGCGGGCCTCCTTAGGCGGAGAGTTCCACCAGGCAGGGGCCAGGCCTGAAAAGGCCCTGGCCCTGGTCGAGTGCTGGGGACCACGAGGAGGTTCTTATTTCCAGATCATAATGCTCTTCCTGGGGCATATTGAGAGAGGCAGTCCGGAAGAGAATGTACACCTATAAAGAATTGGGATAGAGCTGCCAACTCTAGTTTGGGAAATTCCAGGAGATTTGTGGGTGGGGGTCTGGGGAGGGTGGAGTTTAAGGAAGGAAGACAGCTCAGTGGAGAAGTTATGTTATAAGGCCTGTCCACCAAAACTTCCGTTTCCTTCAGGGGAACGGATCTATCTA